GTGGAAACAGTCACATTTAATATCAGAAGCAGTACAAGTATGTCAGCCCTGATACTACTACGAAGCTACTAGTCAACATTGTTCTAGAGATCTTACCAGTGCAACAGCAAAAGAAAAAGAAATGATACAGATCCCAGAAAAGAATAATCTCAGTCATCATTACTTACAAATGACTTTGTTTATCTGGAAAACCCAGTGGAAGTTTTTTGTTTGTTTTTTTCCCATTTGAGACAGGATCTCACCATGTAGCACAGGCTGGCTTGAACTTGAGATTCTCCTGCCTCAGCCTCCAGAGTGCTAGAATTACAGGTATATGCCACTTCTCCTAGCTTTCCCAATGTACTAACTACAAAAAAACTCATAAGAGTTTATTATATATATTCAATAAAGTGGCTAAAGTAATAGCCTTCCTTAATATCATGATCTTATAGAGTAAAAGAATTTTCTGGTTAAAAGATTGAGACTCAAGTTGGCCGCCAGTGACTCAGGCCTGCAATCCTAGCTACTTGAGAGGCTAAGATTGGGAGGATCAAGGTTTGAGGTCAGCCAGCACAAACAGTTCACAAGACGCTATCTCAACAAATAGCTGAGCATGCTGACATATCCCTGTCAACCCAGCTATGGCAGGAAGCATAAAATAAGAGAATTAATGTAAAAGCCAACATGAGAAAAAGCGAAACCTTATCTCCAGAATAACCAGAGCAAAAGGGCTGGAGGCATGGCTCAAGCAGTAGAGCACCTGCCTGGCAAGTGCTAAAAGCCCAAGGTTCAAATCCCAGTACTGCAAAAAAAAAAAAAAAAAGATGTAGATTCAATTCACACCTCAGTTCAATTTCTCCCAATGCCTGTTGTAATAACAATGAAGGAATAAAAATAATAAAACTCCATAATGACAAAGAAGATGAAAGTGAATCAACAACAGACAAAATATGTCAACAAAATTTGGAAGCTGGCTCTGGATAACTGACTTAGAATTGAGAAAATAGAGCTCAAACTGGTAGTAGCTGGGATATAAGTACAAATCAAAACAACCCATAGTAGAGAGCCATTGCAAGTTCACAACTCAGAAGTACCTATGATCTGCAAAGATGAAGGGCAAATTGAGAACAGAATTGATTGAAAGTGTCATGAAGACCATGTAGAGCTTATTCATCCTCTCCTCTCTCTCCTATAACCAGGCAACACCCCTACAGCTGCCTAAAACTTCAGAAGAATAGTTTCATCTGTGTATCTAGGGAGATTTGCAAAACCAGACTGAAAGCAGGGGAAGGTGGGAGCCATCTCTGTACTAACCTCCCCTTCTCCTTTGCCTCTTTCCCACCAACCTGTAGAATGCCGCAGATTAACTTCTATTTCCTAGGCAAGAGAAAGGAAAATTCCCTCTTTAGGGGCCCTCCCTGATGATTGGATTAACTGAGATTAAAAATTTAGGAATGCTCCAAACAAAATTCTGGCTAGTCACTACTTTATGCCTTTCAGTAAAATTTGCCATTCATCAAGTGATGAACGGTATCCCACAAACCTAAAAATTTTTCAAAAGTCAAAGGGTCTCTTCCCCTACTGGATGACCAAACAGATTATAAAACTGTAATAATTAACGTGGTTCCAATAAAGAAAAAGAGGGCTCTTTGGAATGAAATAGAAAGTCCAGAAATAGGCTGTGAATTTAGTATTTGAAAAAGTTGACTTTTCAACTTTTGAAAAGAATGGGTTATGGTTTAATGACACTTTAGAAAAAGGTACCTATCTCACAATATTCTCAAAAATAGACTCCAGATGTATTATCTAAGAAGCCATAAATGAAAAGACTGGTAAATATGAATTCATATGAGTAGAAGTCTGGCTCAGTCAACAATATCACAAAAGATATGACCAATGTCCACTTCTGCTCATGATGGAATAATTAGAGGAGCACTTTTGCTGTAACACAAAACTGGACAATATACATGAAATCATCACTTTTAGGCATTGGACAATAGGCAGAGCAAAACTGTGATGTAAGTTCCTGGGACAATGAGCCTATGATCACCCTGGGTTTCTTCCTGGAAGTTCTTTCCACAGGGAAGGGAGGAGGGTCCTAAACATCGTGTGGCATTCTCGCTGAGCTAAGGAGAGAAGACAAGGAATCTGGGGAGATGAGAAGCACTGGAATTTGGGGGTGGAGTATGAAAATGAAAGAGTTACTCAGAGAAAGAGATCCAGAAATCTGCATAGAATTCTGTGTGTGTGCACTGGATGGAGATCCATCAGCCCCACAGAGAACCACTCTAGAAATTCTCTAAGTAGAGTGGGCAGAAAGCTGAATCCCTGGAAAGATGAATAGAATGGAAGCCACAGGAAGAGGCTACTGCCAGACATGGCTCTGCAAGTTGAGTCTGGAGATGAGGCCAGCCCACAGGACAGAAAGAAAAGGAGGTCTTTGGAGTGGTTTAAAGGTCCCTCATTGGCACCCAAAGCAAACACAGTGAACAAATGGGGTGGTAAGAACTTTTTGGACACCTTATGAAGTCCCTGTAATCTGTGTTAAATTCCTGCTCTTTTCCACAAAGTAGCTAAAAATCACTAGCCATAAACTCAGAAACTCAGAGAAAGGATTGACAAATGGGACTACATGAAATTGAAAAACTTCTGCACAACAAAAACAAATGGTCTTGTAAACTGAAGAGGCTGCCCACAGAATGGAAGAAAATCTTTGACAGATATACATCTGACAAGGGTTTGATAACCAGAATATATAGGGAGCTCGAACAACTAAACTCCCCAAAATTCAATGACCCAATGAAGAAATGGGCAAAAGAACTGAACAGAGCTTTCTCAAAGGAAGAAGTCCAAATGCCTAAAAGACACATGAAGAAATCCTCACCATCCCTGGACATAAAGGAAATGCAAATCAAAATCACACTAAGATCCTACTTCACCCCTGTTAGAATGGCTATCATCAAAAACACCACCAACAACAAATGTTGGTGAGGATGTGGGGAAAAAGGAACCCTCCTACACTTCTGGTGGGAATGTAAGTTAGTGCAACCACTATGGAAAGCTGTATGGAAGCTCCTCAAGATACTGAAGATAGAACTGCCATATGATCCAGCAATCCCACTCAAAGGAATGTAAGTCAGGTTACAATAAAGGCACCTGTACACCCATGTTTATTGCAGCAGTATCCACAATAACCAAGCTATGGAAACAGCCAAGATGCCCCACTACTGATGAATGGATTAAGAAAATGTGGTATTTATACACAATGGAATTTTATTCAGCCACAAAGAATAATGAAATTTTGTCATTTCCAGATAGATGGATGGAAATGGAAACCATCATCTTAAGCGAAGTTAAGCTGCATGTTTCCTATCATATGCAGAATATAGACCTAATACAAATGTAGCAGTATTATGAAAAACAGGTCACACTAAGAGAAGGTCACACACGAGAGGGAAAAGGTAAAAGAAGGAAACAAAAAGATGAATATGGTTAATGTACTCTGTATACAAGAATGAATACAGAATATTTAACTGGTTGAAACAACCATAAGAAAGGGACTAAAGTAGAAAGAAGAAAAATAGAGGAAATGAACCAAATCAGGCTATAATACATATATACATGGAAGTGCCACAAGGAAACTCCTGTGTAGCTATTTTAAATAAGCAAAAATGTCATTTCTTTTTCCTTTCTTTTGCAAAATTGTGTAACAGGAAGGCGGAATAGGTCCTGCCTGGGAGGGGAGGGTTGATACCAGTGGGAGGGGAGGTGGTGGGAAAGGGTGTAAGAGGGTGAACATTGTGCAATTACTGTGTTCACATGAATGTAAACAGAAAAAAAGATACCGTTGAAACTATTTCTCCAATGGGGATAGAGGGATAAAGGGGAATGGTGGAGGGGTGAATTCAACTAAGATATATTTAATATACTGTAAGAACCTTTGTAAATGCCACAATGTACCCCTACCCAGCACAACAATAAAATAAAATAAAAATAAATAAAACAAAATAAAAATCATTAGCCATAAAGCCCTTAAAGAAAGGTATACCTTGTTTTCTTTCATATGTGGGAGACAGATCCAATATAAATACAAGCATTATCATATATACATATAAATAGATACAGAACATGTATCCAAAAGTGGGACTGATAGAGGAGACTAAGGGAGGAGGAAAAGAAGAAAAGAATGATAGCGAATAATAGTGAAATACATCACATCTGTGTAGGAACAAGACACAACAAAACACACTGAAAACTTGAATATGGATGGGGGGAGAATTGTGAGGAAGAACAGTGGAGGGGGTTAGACTGATTTAAGCACAACATATTTACAGGCAAAATCCCCACTGAACAATGAACAGACACTTAAACAATGAAGGACAAGAAAGTAACACAGGTCATGTGGAGGGGAGGGCACTGATGTGAGGGGAGGGTAAGGAAGGGTGACTATGGCTGATGTACTTTCTATACAAGTATGAATATGGAACATTGAAACCTGTTGACGTCACTTTAAGAAGGGGAATGCGATAGGAGGGAGAATAATAGAGTGGATGAACCAAACCAGGATACAATATGTGTATATATGGAAATGTCACAATGAAACCCTCTATCTAACTATCATATACTAATAAAAATGTTTTTTTTTAAAAAAAAGATATGCTTGTTTCATGACAGAAAGTACAATGAAGAAAGAAGAACCGAGCCAGGGAGAAACCAGTGTGGTAGCTGTCTCAGAGACAAGAAAACACAAAGATTTCTTCATTCAGTGAGTATTTATTGAGACCCTGCTGTATGACAGGCCTATGCTGGCTGTGAAGGGACACAGAGGCATGGCAAGTCTCCTGCCTTGAGGAACTGTTGACCCCCGTGGGTCACATGAGGCAAACATGTTAGAATGGGTTAAATAAAATGACAAGGCAGTAAACGCAAAAGGCCAATGGAAAGCCCTAGAGAAGAGGTTGAGTGCAGAGCCCTTTAAGTGTCATGGAGCCCTTAAAGCACTGCAGCTGGGAGTGACCCCCTTAGCTCTGGCCTGCCTTGGGCTCAGCCTGGCCCATGGGCTGCTTGCAGACCCAGTGATAGGAGGCACCGCAGTCCATGTCGTTCCACATCTGCTGAACATGCACACAGTCTTCAGTCTGCCCATTTTCATGTCGCCAATTGTCTGGCTGATTTCTGTCCCAAAACCTGGAAACAGCAGGACTTTATTCTGTTAGACAAAGCAAGTGTCCCTTCCCCTGCAGTGGCATAAGGAGCTGAAGTGACAGTGACATGGGTCTCTTACCCCTTTGAGGCCCTGGGATGGGGACAGAGCTGACAACAAAGGGACCCCAAGGGTGGCTCTGCTGAGGTTTGCCCTTAGGTACTGAGGATCCAGAGCCAGGGAGGGTCATCCTAGGATGCTGCAAGTTCCACCCAAGAATTCATACTCAGATGCCTTCCAATGAGAGCACCAGGAGAGAACATCAGCCATGTACGGTGGTACATACTTGTAATCCCAGCACAGGGGAGGCTGAGGCAGGAGGATTGAAAGTTCAAGGCCAGTCTGGGCTACATAGACAGTTTGAGTCTGGCCCAGTCTATATAGTGAGACCCTGTCTCAAACAAACAAAAAAAGAGGAAAACCCACCACAGACTGCCTGCTGGCCACAGCACCTGTCCTTTAATGATGCCTCTCTGTGGGCATCACACTCCCACATACATGTCACACACACATCAAATACACACCTACTACATACACATCACACACACAACATAACACTCCCTGAGCAGGGATACACACACAGGACAGGGATATCCAAGAGTGACCTGCCAAGCCTGCCAAAGAAAGGGCCTGGGACAGCACTAGACAGCAGCTGGACTCACCCTCTACTCTGTGCATCATTGAATGGTGTCCCATCCGCCCAGTACCAGGAGCCCTCACTGCCCCTGTCAGTGAGGCCAATCCAGTGATAAGCAGTACTTGTGGACTGTACCAGGAACACCTATGGAGAAGAGGCAGGACTGTATTTGTCCTTTTGTGTGAGGAGCTGGTTCTCCGGTCCATCTTCTCCTTGGTCCAGGGGGATGAAGACCATTTCTTTGCCAGAGCTGAGCCCCTTCCCGTACCTTCCATGGCTTGTCCAGAACCTAGGGTAGCAGCCATGTCCCTTCCATGGAAGTCCAGCTTCTTCCATATTGACTGTCTCTAAAAAGTCCCTGCCCTTGAGGACAGGGACTGGGATTGGGACAAAGTAGTACTGGCCATAGCTTATATTAAGAAGATGTGACTTGGGCTTGAGGGTATGACTCAGTGGGAGAGCACTTATTTAGCATGCATGAGGCCCTGGGTTCATTCCCCAGCACTGAAAAAAAAGGAGGGAGAGGAAGAAGCAGAGAGGAAAGGGAGAGGAGGAGGAAGTCTTTTACAAAGCAGCATGTCCTTCAGCAGCACCATTGCAATAGTCTTAGGAAAGCCACAAGGAGTGGGCAGTTCTGTAAGTCAAACTGGACCAAACCTATGGCAGTCCTTTGTTAATAACTTGCCAGGTTCTGATAAAGAACCTTGGCAGGTGGCCTTCCTGGGATGATACTGCTTCTGGTGGTCCTCAATGTGGAAGCGTGCATCTAGCCTCCCAGGGTGCCAGGTCACCTGCTCATGAGCCCCCATGTCTACTGGGTTAGCTGACATTTAAGTCAGGACTGATGACTGGAAAGGAAGCCTGTCTGGAACTTAAGGGGAGGGGGAGAGAAGCGCATCTCCAACATTAAAGAGCAGTCACCTGGTGCCACCTCACTCTGCCCTCTCTCCCTGCTGACCTCTTCTGGGCCCTGGGCATCTTCCTCCCTCACTGAGCACACAAGGGTTTGCCGTCCAAGCTTCCACTTCCAGGACTCAATAAAGATTTGCTCCCTGCCTACCAGGGGAGGTCTCCTCAGCTGCATCCACTGAGAGGGTGGAGGCCAGAGCACCAACACCACACACCAATGCCCCCCGGCCCACTCCATGCCCGCAGCTCTCACCTGCTCCTCCTGAGAGGTCACTGATGCCAGATGGGCTCCCTGGGACACACAGAACCTCTCAGCCTCGTGCCAAGACTTCTTGACGTAAGAAAAGTAATACAAGTTTCCCCCGTAGCCCTTCCAGCCTTGCAGGATCAGCTGAACTTGATCTGGAACAAAGGTTGGGGGTGGGGGAGAGAACCAGGAACAGGAACAAAGAACAGATGTCCTAAAACTGATCTTTCTGACCTGTCCTAGGGCTGACCACTGAAGTTTACAAGCCCAGGCAATTCCTGATGTCCACACAGTGCTCCAGAAACAAGGGGAGCTGCACCCCGGTCCCACTACCCAATCCTCCCAGAAGCCACCAGTGAACATTCTTTACAGGTGCCCACTTTGTGGCTGTGCTGCCTCTCTCCCAATTCACTGCTGTTGCCTGACAGTCATCTCCACCTCCATTCCTGTCTCTTCCTGGGAGATTTTACAGCCATCTCAGAGCCTCCTTCATTTGTGACTGTATCTCCATCTGCTTCAGCTGCCCACACTCACAGCCATCCTGGACATTGTCATCACCTTGACCTCACAATTCCTAAACTCTTAATTGCTGCTCCTGGGATCTCTTTTATCCTCTTTGCCACAACACCTGTGCTCTAGCATCACCTACACCATAGCTGTGTGAAATGGAGCACTTAGTCATTTGTTCTTGTATTCAACATTTTTAATTTCTATGAGCCAGGGACTATTATGCAAAGATCCATTAGACATGACTGATGCCCTCGAGGAATTGAGAGTCTAGTAAGTGTAGTGGATGGAGTAAGGTGTTGACAATGCCTTGGTTTAAATCATTACGTTCAAATGGTGGCACAAAAGAGCAACTAGTTTGTTTCTCCTGGGAGGGAAATGTGCTCAGGAAAGACAACTCGGTGACACATTACTCAAAACGAATCTTGAAAGGCTGAGGAAGAGTTTTCCAGGAGGACAGAACCCAGGAGAGCCTTCTAAGCAGGGGAAAGAGTAGGCACCAAAGTATGCAGGTATGTAATGGCATGACACAGCCTGAACTGCATGAGCTGACATGACTCATGATCAGTGCATAGGATGACAGGTTAACCATGGACAGGTTCACCAGCACTAAATTGTGTGTTCCATGTGAAAGTTTGGATTTTTTTTTCACCACAAGCACTGCAAATCATGGAAAGGTATTAAGAAGGTTTATAACATGCTCAGCTTTGCACTATAAAAAAAATCAAACTGGCAAAGACTGAACAGGATGAAGCCTCTTTTAATCAATGATAGCACAAGGGCAAATGTCTCAGTAAGAGATGGTGAGTGTGTAGAGTGGTTCTCAATGTGTGGTCTGGGACTGGAAACATCAGCATCATGGGGTATGTAGCTGAATGCACACTCTTAGGCCCACTCCAGCCTTGCACAATCCCAAATTGTGTTTCAACAACCTGAGGTTCTACAAGCCCTCCAGGTGATTCAGATGTTTTCCAAGGTCTGAGAACCCCCGGGTTAAACCATGTATTGGCAAAGTGCAGTCTCCCACCCCCAGCAGCCTCTTTTCAGAAAGTCTTATTAGAACACAGCCATGCCTGCATATTTACATACTGTCTGGGGCTATTTTATGGCTACTGCAGCAGAGATGAGTAGATGCAACAGGGTCTGTACAACCCAGAAGCCTAAAATGACTACTATTTAGTCCTTTAAGAGAAAGTGAAATAAACGGTTCTCAGCCTAGCTGCTGTTAGAACCTCCTGGAGAGCTTTTAAAAAGCCCTGATGCCTAGGCTCATCCCAGGCCAAAAAAAAAAAAAAAAGTCAGAGTTCCAGAGCTGAATTGTAAGCACTTTTGGGGGATATTTCACAATGTGCCCCAAAGTGGATAAGCAATGGAAAGTCCTAAGAGGGAGTGAGGAGGATAGCATGGCACTGCAAGAAGCATGAAGAAGGGAAGGTTTCTGGGTCCCCACACCAGAACACAGCAGAGAAGGTCCTGGGTGCTGCCTGCCAAGCCCTCATTTGTCAGCCCTCTTTTCTCCAGCAGTTGCTCAAACCATTCCTTCTCTTCCAACTCCAACATGTTCCTCATCCTTAGCAAGTAGCCTCCTACTCTACCCAGAAAGAAGCACCACTAAGGACCAACCCCTCTGTTTCTGTTCTCACATCTACAAACTGGGGTGAATAACTCCTTCTTTTCACCCTCTCACACCACCCCAGCCTCAGAGGGTTAAGTTTTGCCCCTACCTGCTCTTCATGCCTTCACGACCAATTACCATTCAGCCATGCCCTTCATCTTTCATATCTTTCTCTCTCTCTTTCTCTGTGTGATCTCCTCCTTTTTGACTCCTTCCTCTCACCTTCAGATCAAGCCTATCTGAATTTAGAAAAACCCTTTCAAGGAAATTCACCAGAACATTAACAGAGGGCTCATATGGAAAACATAGAAATGTCCATGGAAACACAGTGGTTGCCTTCTCTTCCTTTTAGTTCCCAGTATTTCCCACATTGTCTACGTTTCACATGTTGGTCTTCAAAACACCTCTTCCCCTTCTTGACACCTGAAGGTTGGCGTTCTGTTTTCAGCCTCAGCTCTCTTCTCAAGGTGCATTCTGTCTCATGAAAACTCTCTCACCCAATGCTGCAACCATAACCAACATCCTAGGTCCCCAAATCCACGTCCACAGTCCAGGCCTCTCTCCTACTGCAGACAGCCTGTTGATGTCCACCTTGAATCAACCCCAAGCCTCTCAGACTCAGCAGGTCGTATCTCCTGCTCCCCTTCCTCTTCTCCTGATCTCAGTCTAGTGAGCCTCCTCCTTGCAGTCCTTCAGCAGTTCCTCACTTCCTGGAGGAGGAAATCCAAGCTCAGAGATCTTCCCCATCCAGCCTGTCTCCCAGGCTACCCAACCTCTCGCACTGTGTTTTTCAAACTACACTCGCCAGTCCATGAGCAGAATGTGAGATTTTTTTTTAAACATAAAGAATCAATTATAAAATATCAGAGTGCATTGATACTGCAACTTTTGCTTTTTGCAATATGTATGCATGCATGTGTCTGCATAATTATACTGGATTACAGTGTGAAATGAATTCCATTCTATGATTACATCCAAAGCATTGTGAAAGCCATTGCTCTGGACCCTACCTACTGTTCTTTCAGCTTTCACCTCATGAAGCTGCCTCTTTCCCACAGGCTAGACAGATTGCCTGAAGTTTCCAGAATCTCAGTTTCATGACTCCATGCCTGTGAACTGATTGCTGTCTTACCCTATATGCTTAGCCAACACGAATTAGTCCTTCAGGAATCATATCAAGAGCCTGAGAATCTTTTGATCCTTTCCCACAAAAGATCTCTCTCCACACTCCCCTCAGAAGATTCCTTCTCCCTTCTTTTTGCCCCTCCTTCACTCCAGTTCCCACCTGCTTCTCACTTTTCACCTCTTACACCTGTCTGCGTGTCTTGCATGCATACCTGCCTTCCTAACCCAAGACCTTGGCAAGGGTAGATAGCACATCTTATTCTTCTTTATACTCCTGACACTTAATGGGGCCTTGACAAAATATCAGATGAATGCATTCATGTTGGGTACTTCACTAAAATGCTTTACATGTGCTAACCCATTTGATTTGCACTGAGAAGCAAATCTTGTTGTCTCTAATGATGAGAAAAGTAAGCTCAAGGTCTCACCATTTCTGACAGCAGGAAGTCAGAAATCAGGCTAGCTGGCCCCATAAGCCCACGCAGTTCTTATTTACATCTTCAACAAACAGTTGGTTTCCCAAGTGCTTATTTTGTCACTGGCCAGATTATAAACAACTTTAGACCAGGTGTGACGTCACTTTATGCCATCCCCACCTTGCCTGTTTCACTGCATTTGGTCCCAGTTACAGCACCCATGCTCCTTCCCAGGGAGATGCACGTTAAAGTAAGCAAAGAGGCTGAAGGGACAGGAGATGCTACCTCCTGAGAGATGCCCCTCCACAGCTGGACCCCTCCCTCTCACTTACTTTGGATCCTTTGTAGCTGCTCCTTTGAAGCAATAGTTGAGTACAGGGTCCCCAGACGACTCTGCTCCCCCTGGATCTTGGCAGTTAGAGCTGTTGTGGTCTCTAAATCCCCCTTTAGCCTCTGCATCTCAGCACTGGCCTTCTGCAGATTGCTGTCTAATATCTGGATCTGGGAATTTAAGGCTGCAATAGCCTCCATTCCTCCTTTTAGGGTCTGGATCTCTCTGCTGGCATTTTCCATCTGACCATTTAATGTCCCAATCTGGGAGTTTAAGATATTGGTGTTTTCCAGCTTTGCTTTTATCACTTGTATCTGAGCATCTGTCTTCTCCAGACGGCTGTTTGCTATTTGGGTCTGGGCTGTAACAGTTTCCAAATCTGATTTTAATAAGTGTGTATTATTACCAGCCCTTTCCAAATGACCTTTCAGTGTCTGAATCTCAGCCCTGGTGTTGTCTAAACTGCCTTTGAGAAGGGTCTGGGTCTGGGAGTTTAGAGCATTTGCATCTTGTAGACTTCCCTTTAGTCTCTGGATCTCAGCCTGGGCTTCTTGCAAACTACTTTTTAAAACCTGGTCCTGGGTCCTTAAATCATTGACACTATCCAGATGGCTTCTCAAAGCATGGATCTCAGCATTAGCATTTGCTAAACTACTGCTTGCCAACTGAGCCTGGCCATTTGCCATTTCCAAACCTGTCTTCAATCTCTGAATCTCAGTCTTGGCATTCTCCAAGCCTCTGCTTAACATGTGAAGCTCAGCACTGGTGTTCTCTGAGCTGCTTTTTAAGAAACTCTGGGTCTGGGAAGTTAAAGCATTTGCCTTTTCCAGATCTCCCTTCAGCCTCTGGATCTCGGCATCAGCCATGTCCAAGGAACTCCTTAGTGCCTGAGTCTGTAAACTCAAGGAACTGGCATCTTTCAGAGTGCCTTTTACCATTTGGATGTCAGCACTGGCATCTCCAAGATGATTCCCAAGCAGTTGGACCTGAGAACTGACATTATCCATTCTGCACTTCAACATCTGGATCTCCACAAGCCAGGTGCTAGAATTTTCTACATGGTCTTTGAATATCTGGATAACCTCTTGCAGCTCTGCTGACCTGCCAAAGTAGTAGTCATCTGGAAGGAAGAAGAGAAGAACCCTTTGGAGAAGAGCCCTTTGGAGAACTAGGCCCATTTTGTAGGGGAGATTGTGTAAGCCAATCAGAATGCTCTTCAAAGTTCCCAGGAAAGCATTTACAGTGCAGCCCTAAGTGCTTCTCAGGCAGCCTACTGGTCACTGCAGCCACCCAGACCCTGGGGCTGGGCCAACTGAGAATGTAGACCAAAAAACCAAAACAAATGAAGACCTACCTCACTGTCACACATGAACGAAGGGGTGGGAAGGAATGAAGTACTTGCCTACTATAAACTAACCACCAAGAGTGGCCATTGTAATTGCTCAACTTGAAAGTAACTGATTATATCATTTTGAGCTGTTAAAGTTTGATTCTACTGAAATTTCACCATTGATAAGTCATTATGAGAAATAAAATAGGTATGAAAAAAGCCCAGAGTTAATCCTACAGTATGTGTGTACACCAAGCAGGAACTCTCTTAATTCATTCCTGTTACTTCCTAAACACATGTAGGCCACAAACATAAATTTTCTGAACACAAAGTCCACGGGGAGGGAACAGAAAAAAATAAGTGTCTGAGAAGAAAGTTCACTGTTTAGTCTACAGGTGGAGGCATGCCAGGCCTTCCAGGTGACCCTGGACCTCCATTAAAATGATCTTTTAGTTAAAGAGCTGGTACTTCAATGTTACATAAAGCAAGGGCCCCTACAAAACAGCTTGAGGATATGTGAGGCCTGAGGGAAGGGCCTTGGCCATTGGAGGTCTTTTTAATCAGCAGTCTTTCCCATCAACACCTCTGGCATCCTTGGTTCACCTCTGGAACTAGGACTCAATCTTAGCCATCTGTGGTCACCTCCTGATTCAAACCTTCCCACAGGAGTAGGGAGAAGAGCCCAAGTACACAGGGACTGTTTCTGGAGTACCCATGCACTCACTATTCCTCACACTCTGCCCAGCTATACATGTGAGGCTGCTGTACTGAGGCAAGACCAGGTGGCCTTTGAAGGTGTGGAAAGGCCAACAACTGGACCTTACAAAGATAGACAAATAGACCAATGCAACAAAATGGAGAATCCAGAAGTGCAACCTGTATAAATATGGACACATGATTTTAACCAGATGCAAAGACAATTCATAGTGAAAGGACAACCTTTTCAATAAATAGTGCCAAAATAATTGGATGACAATACACAAAAGCACTTATCCCTTCCTCATATGATTATACAAAAATTCCTAACAGTGAAACCAAAATCTATGAAATTTCCAGAGGAGAACATCTTTGTAACTTTGGGTTAAGCAAAGTTAGCTAAGATACAAGACCAAAAGCGTGATCCCTTCTTGAAAAAAAGGAAATAATAGGGACTGAGGGTGCTGCTTGGTGGCAGAGCATATGCTTAGCATACACAAGGCCCTAGGTTCAATCCCCAGTACCAAAAAAAAAAGGAAAGACAAATTACTTTATCAAGACTAAAATCTTGAGTCACAGACTGAGAGAAAAATATTTGCAAATCACATGACTGGTAAAGGATTTTTTTTAAAGTACATATTGTATGGTCCCTTTTATATGAAGCACTAGATAAAGCCAACTAATCTTTAGTTATAGCAAGCATAGCAGTGTTCCTAGAGACTGAAAGAGAGGGGAGAGGACGGGATCACCAAGGGCCACAAGCGAACTCTGTGGGGAGAATGATGGATGAATCTGTTCCTTACCTGATTGTGTGGTGGTTCCCTGAGCGTACGCACATATCAAAACTTGCACTTTAAATGCTCAGTACATTCTGTAACTATTATACCTCAATAAAACTGTTCTCTTAAAAAGTACATTATTTCTTTTTATGAGGAGATCCCATTCAGGGATCTGGGGGTACTGAAGGAGAAGCTGGTCCCAGGGTCTGGGCTCCCGAATACCCCAGTTTCCTCCCAGCCTCCTCCCACTGTGGTACTACTCACTGTTGGGTTCCACAGGTCCAGTAGTGTTGTCTCCCAGAAACATGACTTGAGGCTCTTGGAAGAAAGGATCTTCCCTTGGGCTTCGTGACTGTAGAGCTGAGACATTCCATTCCTGGGTCAGTGCCATCCCCAGCCCTGAGCTGAGAGAACAGCCTGCCCCACACCACTTAAGTTTCCAGAAAGAGGGAGATGGCATCAAGGACACTCCCAGAGTTTCCTTCATAAGCCTCAGTTCTTGGGAGGCTTCCCCTTGCACAGTGGTCTCTGTTTGCTCTCAGAAAAGCTGTGATGTGGGCCTGGGGTGGTGGTGGAATGACCCTTCAGGGAATAGAAGGACCCAGAGAATGTGCATCTGGGTGCCTTGGGGCCTTTGTACAGGAAAGAGAGAAAATCAGTGGGGTCCAAGTTACCTGAGAACTTACCCACCACAGAGAGAGCCACAAGACAGGAGACCACCATCAGAACTATGAACACCAGGATGGCCTGAAGATGCCTTTGTATCCTAGGGCAAGGATACAAAGGGGCTGCAGGAGTCACTGGCTCAGGGTTCAGCCCTGAAGAGGAGAAGCCAGGATCCAGGATGAGAGATCATTGGGCAAACTAGGACAGTCCGCCTATTGACCCAGGCTCCTGGTCTGTCCAGTGGGGATGAAAATGGCTGCCATGCTTCTCACACTGGAGCATTCACCAGAGCTCACTGTGGGGTATGACCATGACCAAAGGCTAAGAAGGCTGCCAGGACCCCAGCACTCCCAAGGAGGCAGTGATGGTGCTCAGGGCATAGAACCTGGCTCAGAGTAGAGAGCAACAGAAGTATAGTTTGAATAAAAGAAGGAAGGAAGAGAGGGAGGGAGAGGGAGACAAAGGGAGTTCCAGAGCCACTCTTACTCATGAGCCAAAGCAAGAGTCACAGTGCTGCCTCCCCACACACTGACATGGGCAGTCCTGGAGCTCCCCTACTTGGGTCAGAATATGCCATTGGTGTTCTGAAAAGGGCTGTACCTGAGCATTTTAGAGACTGTGGTTAGGAACAAAGGGTGAAAGGGAAATCCATTAACAGTGTAGAGAGGCCAGCCTGTAGGCCCAGACGCCTCACACGGCCAATCAGTAGGCAAAAACAGGTTAATCTAAATTCAAGATGAACCCTCTTTCTCCTGTCAGATTATTATCTCCCATAGCAGGGGTGTGGGAAGAGTTCATGCAGACACTGGGGGTTCCCAGGAGTTCCAATCCTCTGCCTAACCCACATTCTGCCCTTACCAAGGCCAAGACAGCCATGAGCTGAGCTCTGGCCTGCTATGAGGGGGCTCAGAAGGCTAGGGGGCAAATAAGCTAAGCCCTGTGTTTTCTCACCTCGGGGATGCAGGGAGACACACTGGTTGTCTGTGCAGAAGTGGGCTCTGTTATCATCCATATCTGTGTCCTTCATCCTCCAAACCTGCTCCTGGCCACTGACCCTGGAAGGGCTGTCCTGTGAGACAGAAGCAGTGGTAGCAAAGCCGAGATTCCCTGGATTTATATACCCGTGACAAGGTCATGGCTACCTCAAAGCTCTGCCTCCCTTCCTACTGACTCTGCAGAAACCCAGCCCAAAGTGGCCCCTCCCATCCCAGGGCACTACTCTCTTCCTCTTCCTATTAGCACTATCTTCCTCAGGGTCCCACACAATCTCACCTGGTCTCTGGGTGCTGAGACTGGCTACCTGAAAAGGGGACACCTCAGCTTTACAGAGAAAACAGAGTAAACATAAGGACCACTGTGTTAGGACCACACCCTCCTCCCCTGGCCCCAAAGGATGATAGAAATCCACCTTACTTCATTGTAATGGGGGCCCTGGGGAGGAGCGGGGCAAGAGTTGGTTGAGCAACCAACTGACCAAATCACCACTTATCTCCTTTATTACCCCTAGAAACAAGCCAATCACAAAAATTTTCTTGGCCAACAGGTTTCCCAGCACTTTCCCACTAACCTAAATCTATCCCCAGTCTGTAAGTGACAGTGGGCTCCAGCTGTCTTGCTGGATATCCCCTCCTCAGGTTTCTTCTTCCCAGTAAAGCCTGAGCCATCTCCTGCCTATCCTTCCATGCCTCTTTTCAGTCTAACAAAAACATTCTTTGTCTGCAGCTGACCCTTACTCTTAGCCCCAGTCCCTCTGAAGTAACAGACCAGGTAGCAGATCAGTGCAGCAGGGGTTGCAGGTGAAGGCAGCGTGGAGGTGGTGAGTGGGTTGAGGGTGTGACACTGCCCATTCAGAACCTCACAGCTGACTATAGGAAAGGGCCTGAATTTAAAAAATAAATTCGGTCTTTGTCCTGGGTCCTGGCCCAGAGCAAACCTGTTTTCTGAGTGACAGGAGTGTCTTTTTTTTATTCATAATGAGCCCCTTTTGACTATACCTGCTAATGAGGTAACTCAGGCACCCTAAATAGTTCAGAATGGCAACTGGTCCCAAAAAGACCAAAGGGATTAGAGGGTGGAACTTTCAGCCACTCACCTCCACTCCATACTCTCAGACATGAGAGTAAGGGAGAGGAAATATAGATGGATTTATAAAAACTGGAACAATGAGGAGCCAGGCATGGTGGCATAGGCCTGTGGTCCCAACTATAAAGAAGGCCACAGTTAGGAGAATCAAGGTCTGAAGCCAGCCCTGGGCAAAAATCTGAGACCCTCCCTGAAAAACAAAATAACTAAAGCAAAAAAGAGCTGGGGGTGTGGCTCAAGTGGTAGAGTACTTGCCTAGGAAGTGTGAGGCCCTGAGTTCAAACTCTAATTCTGCAAAAAAAAAACAAAAACAAAAACAAAAAGAAAACAAAACACAAACTCTTGAACATGAAGATTCACAGAGCTTCCAGGCTGGTGAACACATTCATGTGCCAAGAGGGGTCACAACCTGACTCCACACAGAGTCTCCTTTGCCAGGACCCTTCTGACCTTACCCTGTGTCTCTCTGGTTGATGGTGTTCTTTACAATAAACTCTAATAAGCAATCTGGTGATTTCCTAAGTTCTGTGAGTTTTTCTAACGAATCATCAAAACAGAGTGGGTGTCATAAGATTCCCCAAATTTGTAGTCAGCCAGGCAGATGTAAGAGTCATCTGGTAACCTTTCTTGTCATGGTGAATGAAGGGCAGTCTTGTGGGATGGAGCCCTTAGCCTGTGGGGACTGTGCTAACTCGAGGAGTTAGTGTCAGAATCTAATGGAATGGCTGGTATCAGGAGAAACCACACATTTGCTATCTGAAGTACTGACAGAAAATACTAGGGCTAAGGCTGTGGTTTTAGTGGGATAGCACCTGCCTAGCAAACACAAGGCTCTGAGTTCAAACCACAAGACCACCAAAAAAATTGTTGGGTTATTTGGCCAGATTCTATGGCTCACACCTGTAATTCTAGTTACCAGGGAGGCAGAGATTGGGAGGACCAAGGTTCAAGACCAGCCTGGCCAGCCCCCACAAAAAGTTAGCAAGATTTCCATCTCAAGCAATAAAAGCTGGATGGTGTGGTTTGTGCCTATCTTCCCAACTATGAAGGAAGTCTAACTAGGAAGATTGTAGTCCAGGCCAACCTGGGCATAAATGTGAGCCCCTATTTGAAAAATACCTAAAGTAAAAGGGGCTGAGAGTATGTCTGAAATAGTAGAGTGCCTGTCTAGCAAGCACAAGACCCTGAATTCAAACCCTAGTACCACCAAAAGAAAAGAAAAAGAAATACCAAACAGGGCCTACCTTGATCCAAGTTCTTAGCTTTAACGGATTGGATCTAGGCCCCTGAGATGACCCGTTCTCAAAAACCAGTGGATAAGACTGGGCTCAACACATTGAGACCTCTAACCATGCAGGAGAAACAAATACTGCTTCTTGGGTTCCTGCTCTAGGATTAGAAGAAAAAGGAGTGAGGGATTCCAGTGGACAATGCCTTCTGACTCTAATCCCACTAAAGAGATATCCAGCTGAACATAACCAATATTCCCAATGTCTGGTCAAGACTCCCCTCCCAAGGCCAGATCTGGGGAGACTGGCAGGCTCTTGTTCCTTGGTTTCCTACCCGCCCCCATTACTTCAGTTGTTTATAATTTTATCAACATGGTTCTCATTTTCTTTAACTCATAAAAGCATAGTTATATATTAGCCCCCCATCACAGTACCTCTTATAAGCTATCAATTACAAACTTTTAAATGGCTTATTCCATCTGTACTGTTGTTTTCTTATTTTCATCCCCAGTTCCTACATTCCATTCCTTTATCTTTTTCACAAATTCGCCCATAAACCCCCAAGCAATACTAGAAAGACTGCAGACTCCACTGGTGGAAAAGCCACAGCAAAAAAGGCCAGGACCACAGCGTTGGTCTATGAAGAGCTTTGTCATGGTGGCTGCTGTTACCTCAGTGGTTAACAAGCCCAGGAGCAGCTGATCTGTGGAATGCCTCCTCCATTCATGATGGTGGTTGTGTCTGTCTGTTTGTGTTCAGCTGTGCAAGGGAAGGGCATGGCACATAAAGTACAGAGCCACCATCTGTTAGTCTTTTCCCTTTTCCCTTCTGTCTGTTGAAAGCTGACCCAAGGGGGAAGACAGACCCATTTCTGAGCCGGTCAGCAACCCTGCCTGAAACCTCAGTGGTGTCTGCTAAGCCCCTTCTCTCTCCTCCATGCAGGATGATTGCTGCTAGAGGTGCCTTCTTGGATAGTGGTGAAAGGAAAGGGCTTGATCTTGGTGTTAATTTCCCCACACACTGAAAGGGTCAGGCTGGGCTTCTCAGAAGCTGCTCCTCCTAGGGCTTAAGAAGCTGAGAAGTCCTCAAAAGCAGAACTTTCAGGTTCCCTTGCTCAGCAGAAGAGCAGAGTCTGGACCAGGAGAGGGGCATAGTCCTCCAGACTATGATCAATGGAATCCTCCTTTTGTCCACCCTCCTCCCTTTCTTGTCCCTTCCAAGGTCCCAGCTCCATTTCCTGCAAGAAAACCACTTGTTACAGGATGGACCTCAGGTTCTAGATAGAAATAAATCCTCAGTGACTCAGGTTCTTTCAGTTTCAAGAAAAAACAATCAGCTAGTACAGGGGGTGAGCCTGCTCACAGGAGCCATATGTACAAGAAGCCAGACAGATGAGGAGAACTAGGGAGTCTAAGGCAGTACCAGGAACCTCAGCAGTTGGAGTTTAGGCCTGCTCCCTGGAACCCGCCACCACAGCGCCTTAGCCCTTTCTGCTCTGCACATTCTCTTCTCTCTGCCACATGTAGTCATGAACTTTACCTCTTTTCTCTCTCACAACTTCTGCTGATTGCCGGTTTCCACAGTTGTCCCCACGATATGGCCCTCAGCCTCTCACTCAGGGCCTTCCAGCCTGATTTCCCTCTGTTAAAGGCCCCTTGGCATTTCCTGGTTCAAATTATTTGTCAGAGAAATGGTCTAATTTTCCCAGTTCATCTCTTCATACCAGTACCAACCATAAATCCCTGAACAGCTCTGTTCTTCTCACCTCCTATTTAGCCCATTGATGTGGGAGGGATCCCCTGTCCCATCCTAAATAATCCAAGATGGCCAAACTCATGGCATCTGACACTGGACAGATGAGATTGACAGCAGTTTACCAGCCATGCAAACTCATAGTCCAGTAGAGGACAGTGCATGCCTTGCTGAGCCCCATGGGGTTACCCTCAGGAGGAGAGTGAAGCAGCAAGGACTGGGGGAGGTAGCATCACAGTAATGAGAGAGTGAGGTCCCCTGCAAAAGGATGTGATTGGCCTGTTGAATAGGTTCCCAGCCTGTCAGGGAAATGATACCATTAAGTTGAAAGTTGGGTGGGATGCAGTTGGTCCAGTTGATGGGGTAATCAGCCAGGTGGGGAATATTTCAACTCAGAGGGAGCATGTCTGGTGAGAACAGGGGAACTCAGGGTTAGACCTTTGGACATTAAACACAAGCCTCAGAACTGGCACCTTGGCACCCAAAACAACACACTGCCGGTGGTACTCATTTAAGGAAACAGTCCTTTCCCCAGTACCCAAATGGAAGCCCTAATAGGACCATTCTGCAGAGCTCACCCTTGCTCCTTCCTGCTTTCTTTTTGCTGCTTTATCTGGACGGACTCTCCCTGCATTCCTGCCCCTGCTCCTGGACTTTGGATTTGAACCCAATGCTTGGAAATGGGGTCTCTGTGAAGAGTGGGGAACTTGACAAGACTCCTCCTTGGGAACAAAGCTAGAGAACAGAAGACTGTCCAGGGACCCTGACGAAGGACTACCAAGATCATAACATTTTGCTCTACTTAATTTCCATAAAAAGAGATAAGTACTACTCATGGTTTTTGTTTTGTTTTGTTGTTTTACTATTTTTATTAGTATACATGTATAGTGCAAGGGGTTCTCATTGTGCTAATTCCATAGATAGCACTGCTCATGTTTTGTGGCATTTCCAATGCCAGAACTTCCCTACTCTCTGTACTTTTTGACCCTCTAACTGTGTACTGAGAGTACCCCAGACTTTCACATCCAGCAAAGCAGACTGTCTTTCTCACATATTCACCAGTACCACCAGGAATGAAAATGTGCACGAAGAAGGAGGCCTTGACCCTGGCAGCATTTACTCAGGTATGGAAAGTTCTCTGCACAAGGCACAAGAAGAGAGGAAACACTCAGGTGAGGAGGGGTGGAAGAGGCCTCAAATAGTGAGGAGCTGGGCAGATGATGACAGTGCACAGTGGGGCTGGGCAACCATGTGACTGAGTGAGCAAGTGGGAGGGAAGGAGGGAAGTGCCGGCCAAGCCCAAAAGGAGGTACAGGCCATGTCTGCCCCGACCTGAACCAGGTTAGCTTGTCCTGGGGAAGAAGAAGTTCAGGCTCCAGAGGACATGGATGAAGAGGATGGTAGAATATGGCATTCATGGGCCACACAGAGCAGAGCTGTTTGCACTGAAAACTGCCACTACCAGCCACCAGCATTCCTGTGCAGGCAAGTAGGAATTCTGAGGGATCAACCAGGAAAAGTCTAGAGTAACAGCATCACAAGTGCTTAGTTGGTCTAAAACAACTTTTTTTTCATATTTTGTTCTTCCTTTTAAAAATTTAAAATTTTACATACATAAAAACATAACCATTGTACTTATTTATGAGTTTCTTGTGGTGGTGCCATACTTGTATACATTGTGTAATGTTGAAATTGGGTTAAACATGTCTCTGTCCTCAAACATTGATCACATCTGCATGTATGTGGTACAACTGAGGCCTCCTGAAGGAACAGGAAGGCCCAAGGTGTTGCCATAGATTTTTGGGGTCCTGATCTCTGATCTGCCTTACCAAAGACATGTGGACTCCTAAATCCTCTTCAGCTTCCTCTCCCACTTAATACACTCCTTTGCATTCCAGCTGCCCCTTTAGGGTCAAGAGAGTTCTGAGCCAAGACAGGATCTAAGGTACCTGCCCCTTTGGGGAAGATAGGCTCTAGGGTAACTTTGGGACAATTTCGAAGCAAGAAAAATTAAGTTGCAAAGTCATCCGGGGCATGGAGAAGAAAAGTATTCTTCAAGTTGAACAAGCATTGGAGCTCAAAGGGTGAGTTTGAGGACAGTCCTGTCATGGTTCTGACCAGATGTAGGGCCGCTTACAGATGAAAAGCAACTTACTGTCACAGGGGTCATCATTCCAAGACTGAGTGAGGACAACTTTATATTGGCACAGTGTTCATTGGTGCCCAAATTGTTGGGCTCACCTGGAATCCAGAACCTACCAAGTGATACAACAAAGAAAGATATACTTACAAATTGGGAAACAATGACATTACTTCCAATAAAAAAATGAATTACTAAAATCCCAGCTTTGGTACTGGTTATAGCATCATAAGTCTTTGTGCCCAAACCTAAGAGGAAGGGAATTGGTAGTCTTCAATCTCTAAACTTCTAGCCATGCCCCAGGTTAGGGCCAAACAGCTCACCATTCTCAAGCCCCCCCATGAACCCACACCACAAAGACCTGCTCGAGCTGAGTAGAAGATCTCACTGTCAAACCCCACTGGCCTAGAGGGCCACGGACTTGTTCCACGTCTCACAGCCAATGAATGGCAGTAGTGAGCTGGACCTCAAATGTTCCTGCCATGCTGGGACAAGGACAAAGCTCATGGAAAAAAAGTCACACACACCCTGGCCCAGAAAAGTCAGACTAGGAAGGAGGTACTGGGGACTCACCTCAGACTTTGGACCTTATTGAATGGAGTCTCATCTACCCAGTACCATTCCCTTCACTCCCTGCTTTGGTTAGGCCGATCCAGTGTGGAAGTCCATCTACTGTCTTGTATAGAAACTCCTGTGGGGAACACAGAATGAGCAGATGCACCAGTCACACCCTGAAGTCTGAGAACCTGCCTCTAGGTACTCTTCACTTGTGCTCAGCAACTGACCCTGAACTCACAGACACACTGTGCACACTGTCCTCTCTCAAGTCTCTTCTCACCCTTGCCCAGAGTCCATCTTCCAGATTCTGATTTGTCTTTGCTCTGCAACTAACAAACTCAGAACTCGAGTCTCTCTGTCCTCAGGAAGCAGGTGCTGTAGAACAAAGAAAGCTCAGCAAAATTCCAAAGCAAGGAACCCATAGCCTAGGTGATAATACTTAAATACAAGGAGTACTTAAATACAAGGAGTACTTAAATGTGCAAGGCACTGGGAGAAGTCCTTCATGTGTATCTCCTCCTTTATTCTTTGAGACAGGTACCATTATCACACATGTTTCATCAATGAGTAGGCTGAAGCCTAGTGAAGATAAATAGGTATCCAAGGCTCCAGGACTAGTAAGATGACAGGTTGGTACTCTAGACTACTCCAGACTGCATGCTCTTACCTGCTCTCTCACCCAGATGGAAGGGGCCCAGTCCATATTCTGCTTCACCAGGAAGGAGAATTCCTGAGTCATGCAGTATCATTAATGCCATTCACAAATATTTCTGTGTTCTGGGGACATGAAAAGACTAACCTCCCCCGCCCTCTTTGAAGCTAGGAGTATTGTACAATTTGCTTTCACCAGTGACACATGACATGTGTTATTTCTGAGCTAAAGCCATGTTCCCTCTCCCTGCCTTGGCAATTATAGCTACATGGTAAGATGAAATCTCCTTTGACGTAGGTGCTTAAGTGCCCATAATTAGCAAAACCCATTTGCTAGCTCTCATGAGATATGCAGCCTAAGTGAGAAATAAGTTTTCATTGTGAGGTGGCTAATATTTGGGGGTTTTGTTACCACAGTTATCATCTTGCCAGCCTCTTGGAGACAGGAGAGCTAATGAGAACAACACTAACCTCATCCTCTGAGGTCACTGAGCTCAGGTGTGAATTCCTGGACACACAGAACTGCTGAGCACTGTACCAGGTCTTTGGGGTATGAGAAAAGTAGTAAAAGTTCTTGAAGTACTTCCAGCCCCAGGAAACCATCTGCAGAATGTCATCTGGAAAATAGGGGCTGAAGGTGAATGTGGTATTCCTTGTTCCTCAGGGTACTGGCTGGGGTTGGGGTACTCTACTGGGATCCCAGTGACAGCAGTGAGTGGGGTTTGGCTCTGGGGTCCTTAGGTCCTGGTGTAGGGGCTTGGGACACTTTGTTGGATCCCTCAAGTCTGACTTGAGGGATAGGGCCCCTGGGGTTAGAGAAGAAACAGTAAGAAGGAATGGACCAGAAATCTGTCTTTCCCATATGGAAGAAGCAATTCTCCACTAGCCATGACAAGTGGCTGAACCCCTTGGCTAACGGTGAGGAACTTAATGGGAAATGGCAAAGTTTGGACTAAAGAATTCCTATTTCACACTCTGCACCTGGGTGTGAAGGCCCAAGCTGGTCCCTGGTGTCTTCTGCCTTATAGCCCATAATTTTCCCTCAATGTCAATGCTAAGCCCTCTCTCTTTATAGCCCATGCCTGTCCCTCTTCCTTCCTCCTTCCCTGTTCACCCACAGCCCAATGGCCTCATGTCTAAGACAGGCAAAGTCATGTAGGTCACTGTCAGCTTGCAATGTTATTTCCTGAGTGACTTACTTTGTCCTTTGAGCAAGTTGCTGATATTCTCCAAGCTGCTCTGTAGTCCCCGGACCTTTGCATTTAAAGCACTGGCTTTGTCAAAATCTCTTTTTAATTCTGGGATTTGGGCATTTAAATGATCAACTCCCTCCCAACTTCTTGTTAAATTCTGGATTTGTACATTGGCTTTCTCCACACTGGTCTTCAATATCTGGATCTGAATGCCAGCTGTCTCTATGCCTTGGTTGTTCTTTTGAATTTCAGAACCAAAGGTGCTGATGTTATCCACACGACCTTCCAGCACCTGGGTATTGGTCTTTACATCTGATATTGTGCCCATCAACCAGGGATCTGGATTTGAGAAGTCAAGAGGTCAGCTGAGGGGATCATAGGGGTCCTAACAGGGGTGTTGCCAGGGTAATAAAAGGAAGGAATGGAAGGGGCAGGCTCAAACATCCCAAGAACTAAGACTGTTCAAGGAGCTGCCACCTCCCTTCAATCATTTATTAATGTACAGCAAGCATTCAATGAGCACCTACCACATGACAAGAATGCTGGTGGATGCAGACAGTCAGAAGATAAATAAAACACAGAGCTGCCTGTAGGAAGTGGAGTATGAGAAGCCTATGAGAACTTGTCACAAGCACAGTTGTGCTCAATGATTTACAGGCTGAGTTTGGCACAGCCCCAGCTACAGAAGAGAGTGAGAAGATAAAATGCAGCACAGCTGTTTTTCCTAATTTGTTTACATTCAGAGAAAGAAATAGGAATGCAGGTTTCTCTTGTTATAATGTCACGCCCCTCCTGAAGAACTGTTGCTCCACCTACTTGTTTACCACTGGATTTAAAAGATATGCTGAAGGAGGATACGAGGTTTTTTGATGGGGGATTGATGGAAAGTTTTTTGATGGGGGATTGAGTTGATAGGTGGGCTGCTTGTGAAGCTGCTGCTTGCCAAATGACGCAGCTGACTGCTGCTGAGTTATGCTAGCGATTAGAGGAAACATGGGACAGTGCAGAAGACCAAGACTTTGAAAGGGAACATGGGACAGTGCAAGTCTGAGGGCCAAGACTCTAAGAGAGATTAAAGAAAACATGGGACAGTGCAAGTCTAAGAAAAGAGATTTTAAAGAATTGTAAAGGAATAAGGCCTTAAAGAATAGAGAAGGAAAGAAGCAGAGGAGAGAAGTAAAAAAACAACAAGGCTGTTGTGCATCTCCATCTGAGTGCCCAGCACACCTGGCCCCAACTTTATGCATGTTTGTCTCATATTCTTTGTCCTTTCTGCATCTCCAGTCATCCCCAGTTAGGTCAGAAGGAACAGGAGCATGAAAAAGCTCACTACAGCCACCTGTGAGAGAGGTCATGAGCAAGCAGAAGCAGGGAGTAGACTCCAAGCCTGAATTTCCTTTGAGTGTTCAGGGTGAGTTTGGTAAAGGGATGCCCTCCGTCACCACCTTTGTTACTCTCCCCATCATTTTCTCCCCTCTGAGCCTGTCAGTTGATCTCCAGCCTGTCAGAGACCCCTATGGTGGCCATCAGCACACCCCTCCTTTGTCTGCCCATAGTCCCCTCCATGGCCATGGGAAAGCCCAGGCACACGGACTCCTAATCCTGAAGTGGTTTGTTCTCCAGATGATGTGGAAAGGAGGAATAAGCCATTTTTCCCCTTCCCTTGCCCTATCTACTTTCATATTCTTCTCAGGTCTCAGACTTGGGTGCCATGGAGGGGGCCAAAAACAAATCAAGAATGGTCAAAAGAGAGTCCTGGGGAAAAGACAGTATTAGAAACCAGGGGTTTGATAGGGGTCACAGTGCTGCTAAGAGGATACAACCTGAGACCAAGTATGTTATAAGGCTATGAAGAAGACAGACATTCACTTGCTTTACTTTCTGGCAACACAGCAGAAGGAAGAGGCTCTACCAACAACAGATGAGCAGGAAGACTCCATTGACACACTCTTTACTCAGACAGGAGAATGAAGAAAGCATGTAGGGGTCCCAGGGAGGGGAACTGAGCCATGGAGAGTTGCTGGCTTATTGGCCAGGTTCTCCATCTGGTCAGGGCTGAGGACACACTTGGAATCAGTCCCTCCTGGGGTCAGGACACATTGTATTCACTCTCATGTACTGTTCACAAAGCTCTAAATCTATGTGTGGCAGGGGGCTCAGCAAGAAAATGGCACAGATGACTGTTTCCTGGGGCAAGAAGAGTGTACTCTTAAATACAAATGTGCAAACACTGATACCAGTTAGAAAAAAACTCCCAGAAATTGGGAAGGAAGGTGAAGCAGCTCATCTCACTGGGGACAGAGCACCCTGTCACTGCATGTGCAAAGAGAAGAAAACCAAATGAAACCCACAGGGAGGAGAGACCAGTAAGAAAAAGAAAGAGGAGGTGAGGGCCTCCCAGGAGCAGAATAGCCATGGAGGAGAATCAAGAAGACAATGAAACATGAGGACTTACAGAAAATGGCCTGCAGCACAATGGAGGTGACCAAGACCAGCAACAGGCAGATTACGGCCACTCGAACAGTAAGAGGTTTCTTCAGGACCAGACTTGATCCTGTCTTTGGAGGAGGCTCTAGAAGAAGATGCAAAATTTTGTTAAAGACCAGCAAAGGGTAGGTTTGAACACAGCACTGAGCAGTTTCTGAGCAGTGCCTCATGCTTGCCTCTGGGCCAGAGGGAGATGTTTTGCTTGTCCACCGTGAAGTGTGCATCAGGGGTCTCCCTCTCTGTAGCCTTCATCTTGCCCTTGTGGCACAGGTGCTTCTGGCTGCCTGTCTCCCCAAGTACCTTTTATTTCAAGAAAACAGGAAGTGAGTCCCACAGCAGGTCACTATGTCATTCCAAAGTTCCCTTCCAAATACCTTGCCTGGTCAAGGCCATAGCTTGGTCCCCTCTTCGAGAGCTTTCAGGGAGAAGTCATTTGTCTTTTTTCTCTGGGAGTCTGTTACATATGCATTTTAACTATCTTGTCCCAAAGCTATCCTGTTTCTCTTGAAAGGATCCCCTCATCTATCATCCATCCACCCATCCATTCACCACAAACTTATATTTTAGGTACCAGACTGTGAACTAGACACAGGCCATGAAGATGAATAATTCACAATCTTTTCACTCAAGCAGCTCACAGTCTGATAGGAAAGAAAGATCTGAGCAAATAAATAAAATAAATAAACACAAGGTGCTGAGTATAACAATAGGTGAATATGCGCAGTTCAAAGTAAGTAAAGAGAACAGACTAATGGGGGGAAGTTACAGGTTGAAGAATGAGGCAGAAGGCAGCAGGGAATGCTTGGGAGACTGAATAGTTCTGGCTCTGTGTGAGAGTAAAGTATATGACAGGAGAGGGAGGGCATGGAGCTAAAGAAATATCTGGAATCAGATCATGAAGATCATTTTGGATTATGTTAAGCAGCCTTGGGCTTATGGGTAACATGGAGCCAGTGGAAGGCATCAGGCAGGAGAAAGACAAGACAGGGACATTGTTAGAAAGATCATTTTGGTTATGGTGAGGAGGATAGATTGGGGTGCAGAAAACCTGAAAGCAAGGAGACCACCATAATAAAATATCCTACTTTGTTTTGTTAAGGGATCTTAGTTGATACTGAATCCCCTTTTGACATGCAGGTTAAAGATTCAAAGTGAAAATGTGAGGCCTGGGTTCTCCTCCCTGCTTCCTACTGTGCACATCTCAAAGTAGAGAGGCTCAGCATCATCAGACTGGCAACCAGCCTTTTTCTCTCTCCTCACCTCCTTATTTTTCCTATCTCCTCTCCCTCCCTGCATCCCTAAATAGAAAGTTCCATATATGGGAAATGCTGAGGGCACAGCGGAGTTATTCTGGGGCTCAAAAAAGGAGGAAATTTTCTCCTAGGAATCTTTTCATGCTTTGAAGAAGTCTCCCGAATCTGAGAACCCTGGTACATAGCAGACTCTAGACAAATATTTCTCAGGAGGTAGGAAAGGGGGAAGGGAGAAGAGGGAGGAAGAGGAAAGGGGAGAAGAAAATAAAGTTTGTACAGATAATTGTACGTATGGATGGATGGATGGGTTGGTGGATTGGGTAGAGGATTAATGGATGAACAGATGAATGAAGAATCAATGGATAAATGTGGATGGATAGATGGATGGACAGGTGGATGGATAGATGGATGGACGGGTGGATGAATGGATGGATGATAAATAATGAAGATTTGCTGGTTGATTATGACTCTATACTGTCTATGGAGTGGGATCTTCCATCTAAAAGCTACTACTTCTTTCCACTGCCTCCAGTTATTCACATTTCCATGAGAAAGAAATAAGGAGGTGTGATTTATCTCCTACCCAAAAATTAATAAAAGCTCCAGCCACATGAATAGAAAGCTGGCCTGGACTTGCTGAATCTGAGCACTGACCCTGGAAGACAGATGATGTCAGGGACCAGGACTGCAAGGTAATTGGCAGGATGAAGGAAAATAGCTATTTGCACTTGCAGAGAATTTGTCTTTGATGTTTGAGAGTATCCTGTCTTCCTGCTCAGACTCCATATGGCCAGTGTACTTATAGCCATTTGCTACTCTCTCTCACCAGCTGAGTTCATACTGCAGCCAAGTCTCTGACTGGATGAGAGTACCCAGAGAGGACCCCACACTTCCCCACCCTAAGAAAGAAGCCAGAAAATAACAATAGTATTCTGTTTGTCCTGTCTTATGTCCTCCCTGTCCACATTCTGTCTGTAGCTGCCAGGCCTGCTGTCTGTTGTAAGCTTTGACATTAGCCAGACTCTAACTCAGTGCTACCTCTGAACTGTTGTGAATATACCCACCCTCTTCAAGCTGCTCATCTTGTTGCACAGCCTTGGTTCTACCAGGATTTAGTCTCTCGTGCATCCCACATGAGCTCGTCCTAGAAACCTAACTGGGGGTGACAGGAGATGCAGGAAGGACAAAAGACAGAAGACCAAACATGCACAAAGCTGGGACCAGGTGGGCTGGGCACTTGGATGGAGACACACAACAGCCCCCTCCACCTCCAGGGAATTTATTATATACAGTGGCAAAACAAGGTGGAGCAACAGTTCTTGGGGGAGGGGGCATGACACTGTAATTCTCAGGAACAGGAGGAACCTGTGACTGCTTTTCTCTGAATTTAAACATCTTAGGAAAAACAACTGTGCTGCATCTTGCCCACTTCTGTGGCTGGGGCTGTGCCAAACTCAGCCTGCAGTTTATTGGGCGTAACTGTGCTTGCTCTATTCTGCAGCTGGGGCTGTGCCAAACTCAGTCTGCAGTTTATTTGATGCACCTGAGGTAGAAAAGGATCTAAGTTACTCAAGATCCTGACAAAAGGGGCCCTTAAGGGGTTCTAATCTCCTCCTAGGGCATTTAAAGAAAGAAGCTACTCACAACATGTCTTGGGAGTGTCTGGTCCCTTCCCCCTCAGCCCAGAAGTTAACTTTTCCCAAATTGCTGCTAGTTTATATGGTGAATTATTAATAGAGCCCCAAGATGGCCCCTCAGTGGGCCCAGAAAGGATGAGGAAGCCTCATCAAGCTGGTGCCCATTGCATAGGAGAGCTGGAGTTGTATTTATTCCAAATGATAGAAATGAAGGCCTCAGGTAAATATTCTGCTGATCTCTAGGCCACAGGCTGACCCAGCATGAGGAAGCTAATTAGAGAATCCAGGGCTGTGGGCCTTCTGGGGCTTCAGAGGAGGTGGATGAAAAAGTCCCAAACCAGAAGAAGTTTCATTTCCCACTTCACAGGGAAAGAGTGAGTCACAAGCTATTTTCCTATGGCCATGCTCATCTGCAGGTATTCACTGGGCATCTCTCCTGTGCTAACCTCTTAGCACTCTATCTGGCCCCTGGCCTGTGAGAAGAAAAGGCAGAGAGTGGGAGGCAAGCATCTCAGCCATATCTTCCAATCAGAAAAGTAGACAGTTCTCCAGCACACTTGGGACAGGGTTGCTCTTCCTAAAAGAAGAGGAACTTTGGTCTAACCTAGAATGACCAAATATCACAGCTGTGACCAGAGACAGGGAAGTCCGTGCTCATTTTCATGTTTCCCCTCCTGCCATGTTCCTGAGCTTCTAAGACTTTCTCTAGATGAGGAAGGAAGTACTAAACCACTTTTTCTCCTTTTCAGGGTGAAGGTAGACTGAGAACATCATCAACAGAAGTGGAAAAGAGACTCAAGTTGTTGGCAATGCCCCAACCATACTGAGAATCACCTCCAAGGAGTGGGAATCTGAGTCCCCTCCAGTCAAGGCATAGACAACACCACTATGGATGGTGAACAACAAGCTGGGGAGTGGGGACAAAGGAGAAGAGAGGGAGGAAGGAGAGAAGGACAGAGTGGAGAGGAGAGGATAGAATAACCATGCAATAAGAGCAGGTGACTATAACAGCTGTTCAGACCTGGCCCACAGGCCTCAGAGGGGCTCCTACATGTAATTTGATAGGGGTGTCAACCAGCAGACCCCAGATAACCAAGGGATACCATGGCCTCTCTGGATGTGTGTCCTGGCAGCAGGTGATAGAGAAAAGAAACCCAGGAGTGGTAGGTGGGACCATTTCTTCCTCTTCAGTACCTGCTATGCACCAGGTATGGGGGGTGAGACCCTGCCCTCAGAAATAGTGTTCCTCCTGTTGAAAAAACAAGACATCCTTAATTTGGGAAAGAAGGAAAGACTCTCCAAGACTTGAAAAAAAAAAAAGACTGAAGACATCGTAAGGGGTCTCCCCAGATCTGCCTCAATCCTGGAAACGGGTTCCTCTTTTTTATGATATTATAGGGGTCCATGTTTCTCTGACACAGTAAAGATGGGCCATTTCCCCAAGTGCCAAAGAGTAGGGAAGAAAAGAAAGATTAGGAGTTTGCTGAGGAAGAAGGTGTACATCGATGGACCAGACTTGGCCTCTTCCAACAAGAAGCTATTCTCAATCCACAGAGGGGGCTGTGCCACAAAGGACCACTGGGAGGAGTGAGTGGTTGTGCCACAAGAAAGTAGGGGCTGGAATGAGATGGAAACAGATGGCCAGAAAAGGCATCACCTGTGCTCAAGAGAACTGCCCATGAGCGATCTCCAAAAAGGCAGGTTATATATATATGTGTGTGTGTGTATGTATGTATATGCCAAAAACATGCCTAAAAAATGAATTGGCATGTTTAAATTGTACATATTTATGGAGAACCATGTGATGTTTCATACATAGTGTAATGTTTACATCAGGTTAAACATATCTGAATACTCAAATATTTATTTATTTATAATGAAAGCATTCAAAATCCTTTCTTCCAGCTCTCTGAAGTAGACAGAACATTAAGGTTAACTACAGTCTCCCTACTGTTTAATAACACACCAAAACTTCTTGTTTCTAACATTGAAACAATTGAAACCATTGATCAATTGCTGCACCTAGAGGTTAGAAATACCAGATTACAATTGCTCCAAACAAGGAAGCCCTTTCTGCCGCCTGGAGCAAGGTACAGTTCAGTCATGGGGGGAAGAAGTCTTGAGAAAGAGAACAGGGTAGAGAAGGAGGCAAAAAATGGTCACTATCTCAGACTTCCAAGACTGATCCTGGCCTGGGGAAGAGGAGAGATGCTAATTTGAGGTGAGTTTTCACTTTTTTTGACTGGATTTTTTTTTTTTGGTATATTAATATGGTTGGAAAAGCTATAATACCTCCCTGAGATTCCATCCAGGAATGAGGAAGAACAAATCGGGAAAGTAGGTTTGAAGAAATGATAGGAAA